CCTGTGGGGCTAAAAATACTACAGTAGACATTCAGGCTCAGGGTGCAGCGCGAGCGCTGAGACCCACACCCTGGTGGGGTTTCAGAACCTGGCTCCAGCCCAAGCCTGAATGTTTACACTGCAATTTTTAGCCCCCAGCCTGAGTCCTGCAAGCCCGACTCAGCTGACCTGGGCCAGCCACAGATGTGCCCTGAGTCTTTTACTAACCTGTAGACATAGCTGGAGTTCTGTAGCTCCTAATAAAGGCTGCTCTTTTCTTTTAGGTATGTTATGATCTTAACCCACTTACGTGAACTGGTGCTGAACATAGCTTTTCAGGTCAGTTTTCCCTACCCAGTCAGCAGTTCTCAGCCTCCAATGAGAAGGCGATACAGACCATTCAGTGAATTAGGTGCTAGGACTTTTAAAGGAAGCACTGTGTTTATTGTTGCATCTCTTCTCTCAATGGGAGATCGAAAGAAGGTTAGACGTTGCACATTATTAGGTGGACAGAGCTTAGCCACAAAAAAGGAATGACAGGATTGTTTTTTTCTGAATGCTGAACGAATCCTTGTTAAACATCTCCTTTGCTAGCCCTTTTAGAGTTCCAAGACATGCCTCTCTTCCGTGCATAACAAAGAATACTTGTATGGGCTTTCCTGGAATTGATCTAAAAATGCCAGGGAGGAAAAGCAAAGCTGAGGAGCTGGACTTTTTCCAGCTCGCTTTCACTTGGTCACAGCCAAAGCCATCCTGCGGTTTGCCTGCCCCAGTCACAACTGCATCATCATATTAGTGAGATGATGTATCATTATGCAAAATGCATGCATAGAAATATTTTCCATATTAACCATAAAGGTAAAGATAGAAGGGAGGTCTAAGAGACTGACAGCGCTTGAGGTGGAAATTAACTTAAAATAGCTGGAAGTGCTGGGGAAATGAAGCAGTGACAGGCTGGATCTGAACAAAGCCTCATTAATAAAAATTTGGGCAAACACATTAGCAGTACTGGTGATTACTATATTTCTGAACACTGATGTACAGAAAGCCTACAACATCTCTGACACAGAAAGCTAATAGCAATGGACATGGTTCTACCACAATCACTTAATCCAATTCCCATGAATAAAATTGAATTTTGAAAGCAGCAGGCTCACAAAGTAGTTGATTTGCTTCATAACCTAAGACCTAAGGCACCAAACTCTCCCCAAGAAATCAGTATAACAAAGTGAGTAGAATCCGTAGTTTTGTACCTAACTGAACTGAAAGTTTATACACAGTCCATGTTTTTTTATGTCTGGAGCACTGTTAGCAGTATCACTGCTGAAGCAGTGAGAAACAGGCCAGTGAATCTGGTAAGGACTTTTACAGCCCCACTCTTTAGATTTTGGTTTTCTCACAATACTCTGCTAAAACCTTAATTACCTGAAACATACAAATGCAGCTGTCTAATGTTATTGGCTAGGGATTTTTTTGGCTTTAAGTACAGATGGATGCCGTTGATGAGTTACATGGGATGGGGTGCTTATAAATTGGATTGCAGTTGTAAACTGTCTCCCACAACAGCCCAAAACATTAGAAGACAGAGGAAGTGCTAGTTAATTTTTTTTTTAAACCAGCTAGTAAGAGTGGCTATGTTACTAACACCCCCCGCCCCTCCCAATATCTTGTTAGCAAACAGTATTTTGGCGCTTTATAGTTTTTCTTGTATACATCTCTACCCCGATATACGCGACCTGATATAACACGAATTCGGATATAACGCGGTAAAGCAGTGCTCTGGGGGGGCGGGGCTGTGCACTCCGGTGGATCAAAGCAAGTTCAATATAACGCGGTTTCACCTATAACGCGGTAAGATTTTTTGGCTCCCGAGGACAGCGTTATATCGAGGTAGAGGTGCACTTGCAAATAAAGTAATTAAACACCGCAAAGCAAAAAACAGAGAATCTGAGTACACACGGACACTTTAAAAGCTTGACTGAAGTAGCAATGCCACGATTACTGTAACTTTCACTAAGTTCTCCTATTTTATATATTTGTTCTGCAGACAGCAAATGGAAAGATTCTTTGGGGAATGCGAGCATTAGTGTGATGTACCACAGCTATGTAATGACACTCAAGATTTCTGATGACAAATGTCTGGCCTGATCCAGAGCCCATTGAAACCAGTGGGAGTCTTTCCATTTACTTTAATGGATTTTGCATACGGTCCTAACTTAGAGGAGAAGCAGACTTCATGCTTCTGTAAGGCATGTGGAGGTACTGAATACGAGTACAGAACTTGGATGCATCACTTGTTCTCTCCAGTTATTCCTCCCAGATGTTTATCCCTTCTATAATCCCCACTCCAAAAAAAGCACACACTGACCAGAGCACCATCTCCTCCCCTCAGATACCGTTTTCAAGCACCACTGCTGGAAGATACCTGTAAAGGTGCTGAAAAATGGTTCTCTCCCATCTACACTAGCAGATGAACAGTTTTCAGCACCAATTCAGCAGGATTCATTACAGACAGTCATTGTCAGCCAAAGGTGATGCAGAATTGGTGTAAGGCACTGGATTAGCAGCAATTGAGGTATGCAAATACTTACAGATCACAACTGTGCACACACTGAACTGGAAGATTTACCTGGAGTAGAGAAAATAATTCACTGTCACCATAGCCAACTGATAGCATTGTTCATTACCAGACTGGTATTCTGTGCATGCAGTTAAAAAAGCTTACCTTTTAATACATGAAGTGTCTTCGTTTCTGTGTTATTCACACACATGCCCAAGGTTTTAGATCACATACAAACTGTGTTGGTAAAACTGAAGTCTGAAGTGCAAAAAGTAAGCAAGCTTTGAACCAGGCTATTTCTGCAGGTAGTTTACGGAACAAAAGCTTCATAAGCGTTATTTCATTTTAGTGAAAAAACTTGGGCCCATGGTACCCAATGGGTTTTTTAACTAAACTGCATTGCATGTTTGTTCCAGTGTAAGTTTTCAATAAAGATCCTGCCTCTGAGAGGACTCGTTTCCAGTGCAAAGCAAGCATCACTATTAGCTATGAAGTGAGTGTGTCCAATATAGGACAAGATGGTTTTACGAAACTGTAGTATGAGGCAGTGAGATTGCAGGAAAGGTTTCCATGAGAAGTAGAAGTTGGATCACCTCAATGTGCAGCCACAAAACTTTAGAGAAACCCACTACCCAGTCTTTCAATCCTCCTAACAGTTTATATTTTAAAAGCTCCTACTAGCCATAGATCATTTCTGTTAGCTGTCATCTTAATCCAGTCAAACAAATCTTAACAAGCTCACATTTTACAGCCTAAACAGAGCTAAAGGTTCAATGAACTGATAACATCTAAGCACCAGTTTATTTACAGCAGAAGCAATAGAAATTCTTAAAGGACCAGTGGCTTGGAAAGTGCGGGCTGGCTACTTTACTCTATGACTATTAGCAGAGGTCAATGCCACTGCTGGAGGGGTAGGTTCTCTCCTCTACCCTCAACCTCCCAGGACTGCTAAACCAAGGACTTTGAGGGAGATGAGGGGAGGAAGAAAATAAAGAAGTTTTATTTTCCTACATGATGAGTGGTTTTCTGAGAAAGGCACTCTCTGGCTGGAAGGAATGTGCTGTTCTGTTAGAGAGATATCAACATGCAAAATCTTGGAGCAGAAATCCTCTTCTCTCTCCCCTAGCAGTTCATAAACAAGCATCCTCCAGTCAATGCTGCGCTATATGCGGCACAGAGTTTTCATCACACAAAACCACATGGGCCATCCTAGACCAAGGAAAAGGTCTTGCAGAAATAACAGTTTTACCTTTCTACCTGACAATGGATTTCTATTACTGTGAAGAACAGTCCCATAGAAAGAGGTTGTCAGGGAGAGAGGCCTTCCGTTGCTTTGCTGGATCTTGAAAAGCCATCCAATATGTCCCAGAAAGATACTGCCTCTTAAAGGGCCTACCTAGCCTCTACTTTTCTTGGGAGTTCAACTACCATGACCAAAGCCAGAGCTGCGTCACCCCCACCACCATGCTG